CGGTTTACTTCTCCTCAACTCCTATTACTCTGTAGTGACACAAGACAAATCCGCTCAAGGATCACCAATCTGACCACTGACAAATTTATTTTAATACATAAATATATAACATATATTACCACTTACTATATATCAGTTGATTGCAACTGTTGCTATTATTCTATCCTACATCACACAGCGCCTTATTGCTCTAGAATTTTCTACTCTGGTTTTCAGCATCGAAAATAACCACAAGGCCCACACCTTCCCCATTTTGCTACAAATAAACACCCCCACCGGAACACCAACATTATAGAAGCAAATTTAATTAAATATGGGACAAGTGTGTGTGTTTAGCCGTCTTCAATGTAGTCAATCAACGAGCGTGTTCTATTTGCTAGGTAGGAAGTAGTAGGGGATTTGTTCGTTTTCATGGCGGTGAGTTTGAAGATAGCTGTCTTCTGGGTTGTTGCGCCATGTAGGGTGGTGAAGTTTACCGACGTTTCAGAGGTCCTTGCTGCCTCCATCATCAGGCCCCTGATGATGAACAACCCAAAAGACAGCCATCTTCACAAAGTGATATGTATCGCATGTTCCACCACACATTTTAATAGATATACAATTCACTTCTGAGCTGTGAAAGTACCAATTTCTCCAGATCTTATACCATCCACTTCCTTCACAGGCTGTGTGAACCTATTCACACCGAGGAGTAATTAGTAGAAATGTCGATTACACAATTTATTAAGTCTACAAATAAACATTCATAATGCAATTTAAATTCCGTTATTTTGCATTAGGTCTATTCAGCTGATGATTGCCACTAATAGACAGAGTTTTAGTTCATAGTTGCGTCACCGTTTGCTTAATCGCTATAAAACATACCACTGACCTTAGTTTGCTATGGAATTTTTACCTGTCCCTCATAAACACCATATTATGATCAATATTGCAGTCAGGTGGCAAACTTATCTTCATTCTTGAGGATTAATCGTATCTATCTTACTATAAAAATTTGTGATTTCGTCGTCGTCAATAAATTACGTCATCAATCAACAATGTCAACAGATATTTGTTTACTCGACATTGTTGTGGAACACAACAATGCCGTGTAAACAAATTTCTGTTGGCATTGTTGATGACGACACAACAATGCCGAGTAAACAAATAACGCTTCACAACGAGGAAATCAAAAACTCTCAAGCCAGTTGTATTATCACTGTTCCAGAAGCAGCATATCTCATTTTTCGTAAAAACTACAACATCAGACCTATATAAGAAATGCCGAAAGAAAAACGAAGGGAGAGTTACATTGATAAACATAGAAAAACGTATACAACAAGAGCAGAAGAGAAAAAAAAGAAAAATCAGACGAAGATTAGCAATGGTGTTGCTGGACGTAGAAAGTTGACTGATCAAGAACAGATGGCCTCTGAACAGCGACGTAAAGAACTAAAACATCAGAACTATTCAACAAAAAACAGAAGAGAAAAAAAAGAAGATTTGCAAGGGTGGGGTTGGAAGTAAATAGTTGACTAACCAAGAACTGTTGGCCTCTGATCAGCGACGTAAAGAAGTAAAATATCAGATTACAGGAAGCGCTCCGAAAGGATTAGCCATCGTTGTCGTCAAAAAATGACGTCATCAACAATATCACCTTATATTTGATTACACACGGGGGTTTAGTGTCTTACTCAAGATTTTAAAACGCAACCAAACACCTTCGGGGGTTGGTCAAGTGTTTAAACCCCCCATTCGGGGGGGTTAGTTTAGTTTCTTACTCAGGGGTTAAACACTTGAATGAGACACTAAACTAACTCCTCTTTGGGTCTAACCAAGGTTGGTTGCGTTTACAAACATGTCCAACCCCAGCTAGGAGCTCCGAAAGGAGCGCCCTGCTCTAGTATCAATAAAATAAATGAAAATCGCTTGAAAAAGGCACAGTTACAAACGAGGAGCAACAACAGAACATTACCTATGATGCCAAGTCATTACTTTCTCAGTAACAGCAGTGGCATGTGAGAAAGAACAGATTAAGTGAAATGCTGTGTGTATCAGCATCTCTTATTGATATCAATGGCATATAGTGGGCATAAGTCAGTGTGGCTTACTGCGGCTAATGTCAAATGGTTAAAATGGCATCAGAACTGACATAATACCAAGGGTTATATTAGGAAGCTGCTAAAAACACTTGTATAAGAAATTGACAGTGGAGCCACGGTTCAAGAGAATCTGACGTAAATACGTCTTTGTATTTAATCTATATTTAGGCAATAAATACAATGAAAGGAAGTTTATATATCAGCTTTACTCTAAATATTCCCTTTATACATGCTTTATAATTGAGTAAATAGTTTGATTAAATTCATTGCTTATTTAACTTGAATTAGTTACGCTTAAGATAGGTCTGTGGTAGCTGAAATATATTATAAAATAAAATAATCGCTTCTTGCAATTTCTATATTCCCTCATACGTTCAGCATTAGTTTTTGGGAACTTCAGGTTCTTTATTTAACACTTCTATTTTTTACGTTTTTTGTACTGTCTCATATATTCTGCATTACGGACTCTTTTAGCTTCAATGTCATCCATCTTGTTATCTCTACATAGTGTGACGTAGGTTGGTTCTTACGCCGTTTATTGTCAGCCCTTGCTGTCTGGAGTCTGCTAACTTGAATACTATCCGACAAAAACTTTTACATGGGGATCCACACACTAATCACACTTCTCTGCCTTTCTGCCGCTGTGCCCTCCGGCTGACTCACTACTCTCTTTTTCACAACTCGGCCACTCCCAGGAATGCGACTTTGTTTATAATCCCCCTCCCAAGATGTTGAAAGACCCAGACCAGGTCGGTTTTCGAGAGGCGGGCGCTTAACGCGCCAGATGCATTGAAAATTGTATTTACTAATAAAATACATTACAGATTCTTAAAGGTCCTTATTTACTGATCATTTTACATTACCCTTATTCTTACCATTCCTGAGGAATGAACGTTTAAAGGTGACTCGGCTCTGGATCTTACACATCTTCGTAACTAACGCTGTTTTTGCCGAAAGACCCTTCCGTATAAACGTATTTACGTCAAAAGAAGACAAGCCTAATTCTCTTACACGAGTTCACATAAACAGATAAAAAGTAAAGTTTGTCCCACTATACGCCATGTAGGCGTTTGGGGTGAGAGGAGGTATAGCTCCTCTCTTCCTTGACCTCGGCACTAGATGGGGGTGAGTGGTCAGCATCACGCCCCGGCCGGCTTTACCCCCGGGAAAGGACCCCGGTACCCATTGTAGAGGAGGCTGGGTGGGCCCCAGAGCCGGTCTGGACGCAGAGGCTAGAGGAAAAATCCTCTGCCCCCGTCGGGGATCGAACCCCGGCCGTCCAGCCCGTAGCTAGTCACTATACCGACTGAGCTATCCCGGCTCATTCACATAAACAGATGAAAACATTAAATGTGATGAACATTAATAATAAATAGGAATCCCTTACCTCAAACTTTGTTCAATTGTAAGAGACCACGATGTCCACCCGCAATGATCAATTTAATCAAAACTAAAATGGCAGTATCACAGATTTCTTAATAATTCTTATTTAAGATACGTACCTGTGATATTCTAAAACGTTTTTAACAGCACAATATTATCTACTCTACGACGCACTTCTTCTACAAGCGATTCACAGCTCAGCTCTTTCCACAATAACGAAAGCGGATTGTTGACGGCAGTAATGAAACACAACAACGCCGAGTAAACAGATAACAAAACAATTAGTTTCTTAGGTAAAGGAGTCAAGCATTGTTATGCATGCAGGAGTTCATGTAAAAGCTGACCATTGTCGGTCCATATTTACACATTGTTGGTATGGATCTTACACATCGTCGTAACGCTGTTTTTGCCGAAAGACCCTTCCGTATAAACGTATTTACGTCAAAAGAAGACTCCTATCACCAAAAATGGGATTGTCAATAAACTGTCCAAAATTTACCAGACATTTCTCTTAACATTATAGGTGTCATATGGCTTATGGAAAGGTTCACTTATAACATTTGGTCATGGGCTCGTCACTACTCACAAATGCACACTTCCAAGACTAGGAAACCTCCAAAAGGAGGCGGCCAAGACCCACAGGTAGTAGTATAATATTTGGTCACAAATAAATATTTTTGTTTGGTATTTTAAAATAATTTATAATATATTTCTTGTGGGCATTGTTTGAAGACTGTGGCTTCACAAAGCATATGTAATTATTAAATAGCAAGGTCAAATATTTTTATTTGCATTCATGTTTCTCTCTTACAGATAGGAAGTTAAGTTTCTTATGAGAGTATTATTGAGGCACTCTATAGCCAATGAATTTCCAAACCATTTCTTCATTTTAAGGTCTGGGGACTAAAAATGAACATAATTATTCTCTTCCAGTTTTCTCATCAATCTCTGATGAAGACAAGTCTCACATGTATTTGAACTCCCTGTGCTTCATAATGAACATTCAATAATGGTCTACATTCTTTGAACATGCGAGAAAAGACAAAATCTTTTTGTAACTTACAAATTTATCTCAGATTTACTGTTTAGAAGGTGAAAAATACAGAATCATATCCAGAAAACAGACTGGCTGAACCTTGAATATTATTATATAGATTTCTATAATGAAACATAAAAAAATATTGTACACAAGAAAATTTTAAAATATTTTAAAGTGCCACTAATGTGGTGATCTTAAAATTCCTATATATATGGTACTTCAAAGACATCCAATATGACTGCCACAGCCCAGGTCAGATTCATTCATTATACTTAGTCACCATGAAAGTTTCAGGTCATATACGTACGTATTATCAAGTGTTTCAATGCGTCTTGAAACATTGAGACTTTTTTTTTGTTACTTCATTACTTCTTTTCAGAAACATGTTGATTGGTAATACAACACAAAACATTATGTTAGTTGCCTAAAAAAATAATGCTTT